CAATGGAAGGTACTATTTTTAACATTCATTTTTTGTGTTGTGGTAATATGTGAATTCTAATGGGCAGCCAAAACCCAGTGTGCCAGACAGTCCTGTGCAAACAAAATGTCATCACTCTTAGATTAAAACCAGTATAAAAAAATCAACACTTGGATGCTATGCACAGAGGTACAGAGCACAGGAGAACCTTTTAATAGAATTTCAGTCATGTGGGTTACTCATCTAAGTTAATGCATGGGAAGATGAAGCATGTGAAGTGATGATACAGATGATGATACAGAATTGTTCCTAAAAGCTCAGCAATGGTCTGAGTTCGTGAGCCAGCATATTACACCTGTGCACAGAGACAGCAGACATGGATAAGTTTATAAAAACATGATTTAGTTCTTTTGAATTAGGCTGATATGTTAGATTTTATAATGAAGATGTTGTTTCTATAAAAGCTTGAGGAGTGATAGATTGGATAAAGCTTTAATGTTAATATATAGATTTTAAGGTTGACAGCTAAGAAATCACACATTTTTCACCTTATTACATTAAGTATCTTTCTGTGTTTGATTTAAAAGCCTTATATTTCAGGAAAATTCATTCCAGTCATCAAAACTATGAAAGTTTATATAGCATTAGAACAATGAATATTTTTGTTATATTGTAATCACTAATAACTATTTTGAAATAGACTTACTATAAAACTTCTAAGAATTTTATGTAGAAAAATTAATTATTAAGCAGTGTTTATGTATGAAACTCCTGCATGGAACAGGTTGGACTATAGTATTTAGAGAAAACATGAAAGAATTTTGGGATGAAATCCCAGAATAAAACCTAGTATGATACATTATGTAACTTTGAAAATGACTAAATAAATTCTATTATAAGTTGATTTTGTTGGATGTAAAATGGTAGCTCATTAATTATGTTTCTCGAGAATATGCATCAGTTATCTAGAATTGCCATCCCTCCATGGTTTTATATGCAGTTAAATTAGGGCACAGACAGTCTCAGCTGGGACTATCAAGATGTATCTTCGCTCTTACTGTTTCTAAGTAGTTGCATATCTAATTCATCAGTCACATTAAAGACAGTTCTTGTGTCAATATTAAGTCTCAGCTGTGTATCTGAATTCAATGCTAAGTTCTTTTGACTCATGTCATCAACAGTAATGCAGCATCTGCCACTGGAATTTAGTCAATAACTATTGATGACAGAAGGTCCAGAACAGAACCTGTCTTACTTTCCTAACCAGTATTAACTCCTGCATCACTGTCAATTAGGTCAGTTCTGCACTTGGAACTGAACCAATGCATCTGTTAATGATGCATAAACAGAATCCAGTTAATTTTTAGCTATAATGGCTCTGGCTGCATAGAAAAAAGCAAAAAGATTTTTTTGCCCCTGTAATCTAATCAAACTTGGTTTTCAATATGCACAACGAAATCTGTTTAGAAATAAATAGTAATTTTTTACTTGCATCAATCACTTTAATGACACATCTGGCCTAGATGTTTCTTGTCAATATCATGGAGTGCAGGGTGAAGTAAAGAAGGAAACTAATTACCAGAATACTGATTTCCAGATGTTTGACCCAATTTATACAACTGTTTATCAAGTTGATTTTTGTACTGTTTAGTTATTAATATTAGCTGTAAATGTTATTTTTTTTTCATGATGTAAAAATTTGTGAATTAAAAAGACACTTGTAGGGGGTTGTGTATATATATATATTTTTGTAATCATGTACAAACCCCAGAGAGGCCATGTAGAGAAATAGGGCAAGAACATCAGTGTGATTGGAAAAATGTTTTATCAGGCAGGGCTAGGGGGCTGCTTGCAGATGCAAGATGCCAGTCAGATTTGCAGCTGTGTGCTGCTTTTGTATTCATGACACATACATATTAAAGGTGCCTTTATGGAGACTTTAATTTCAGTTGTGTAAAGCTTTGTGTAAATGCATGTGGAACAAGGTTGTCCAGGGTGCAGTGAGCTTTTTCATAGGTTGGCCCTTCTGCTTGCTTTTCTTCAGGTATGAGGAGGTAGAAGGGCTTGGGAACAAACATAGGGGGATGGCTGGGTGCTTGTCCTGAACGAAAAGGAATCGGCCCCTTTTCTTCTTCATAATCTCTGGAATGAGGTTCTTTGCATCGTATATTTGGAAAAGGGAGGCCTCATGTGGTCAGGCTTGAGAACAGCTGCCTGCCTGGCTGGGGGGAGCCCGGCGGCAGGCGCTCCCTCCTTCAGCTGAGCTGTTGACAGCAAGCCAGGACTATTAACATGGGCATACGGGTGGTATTTATCACTGAATCACAGAATAGCCTGGGTTGGAAGTGACCTTAAAGATCATATTGTTCCAGCCCCACTAACGTGAGCAGGGACATCACTACTAGACCAGGTTGCTCAGAGCTCCATCCAGCCTGTCCTTGAACACCTGCAGGGATGGGGCATCCACAGCTTCTCTGGGCAGCCTGTTTCAGTGCCTGACTACCCTCAAAGTAAGGAATTTTTTCGTAATATCTAATCTAAACCTACTCTCAGTTTGAATCCATTCCCCCTTGTCTAGCTCTTGTAAAAAGTCTTACAGGCTATTGTAAAATGTCTTACACGCTCTTGTGAAAAGTTCCTCTCCTTCCTTCTTGTAGGTTCCCTTCAGGTACTGAAGGCTGCAATTAGGTCACCCCTAAGCTTTCTCTTTTCCAGGCTGAACAATCCCAATTCTCTTAGCCTTTCCTCATAGGAAAGGTACTCCATTACCCTTATTGCCTTGGTGGCCCTCTTCAGAACCTGCTCCAATTGGTCAGTGTCCTTTCTGTATTTCATTGCAATACAGATGACTAGATTGCAGGAAGAAGAAACATCTGAATATGATTGCAGCTGCTCTGTTACTGAACAGGTCTGAAGTAGGAAATATTGTTTGCATTGGTCCTTTTTTCTTTATTGTACTATAATATAGATACCTTTCATTGCCTTTCTAGGCAGCTAAACCAGGTAACCAAACATAATTCAGAAGTCTATGTGTGATATTAAATTAATTAGCTGAACAAGAGAATTGGAGTAGTGGTCTACGTGGTGACTGATAAAATGACATTTTGATTTAAAGGCAAAATTAAAGAAAAAATAGCAAAACAGAAACCTGAAAGAGTGTCTAGTGCATATAAATAAATAAATAAATAAATCCCAGTTTCTTGCCTTGAGTTATTGTAAGATCTAGCTGTGAGGAACCTAGGCAGGGACCCATTAGAATATCCATGTGTCAGTGAGTCACAGGTTAAAGCCCTGGTGTATGTGAGCATATTCCAGCACTCTTACCTTAGACATGTATCTTAAAGGGAAGTAAATCCAGCTATAATGTATTTATCTCATTCCATTAACTGCATTCTTATTATCCATTCTAAGCACATTCTCCAACTTTCTGAAGAATTCCAATTAAATTAAATGCCCAAAAATGTAGGATTTACCATCAGTAACGCATTGACTGCTGTCAGCTGGTATTTGTGAGAAGCCTCTTGTCATGCCTGACCTTCTGAAGAGATTATTTTGGTTTGTGACTAGCACTGAGAAGTCTCTGGGAAGGCATCGGGCTGCCCTTGGGTCTACTTACATGAACAGCGCAGGGCTGGAAGCTGGCTTTTTGTTTCTTCTCTTTTTTATTTATAAGATTTTTCCATTACCTTGTCTCTTTCAGTGACTTAAATCCTTTCACTTGCTTAACGTTAGTAAAAATTTCCCTTAAACTTAAATGTCCTTGTTATTGGGATGTCTCTCTCAACATACTAAAGTCATGTCTTCGGGATACTACTGGTGGGGTTCATCGGTTACATAGAAATTGCACGTGGGAGTGAGTTATCAGGCTTGCCTTAAGTAGTTGCCTTTACTGGGGATTGAGTAGTCAGAATGAAGAGAACAATATTCTGGAGTTTGTAATCCCACCATGCTTTCTAGTTTGCTAAAATCTCCCTGATGATGCTGATAGCGTCTAATGGATACACTATCAGCAACTGCATCTTCTAAACTATCTCCAGTGTAAGATACAAAGGAAGCATTTTCTGATGATGGAAGCTATTGTTATCAAATGCTTTTCAGAAAGGACCTTCACACAGGGGAAATGAAAAAAGCCTTGCAAAACTGTTCAATTTTATCATTTTGTCTATAAAAAAATAATAATTAAGAAACCTTCTCTCTTGAGATTAAAAGAACACGTCAGGAAGCAAAAGACGTTATTCTCAATCTTAAGTGTTTAGTTTAGTGTTCCTTCTTGCTATGACTTATCCAGTAGAGGATCTATGCCCACAGGGTCCCATTCAGTATGTCTTCCGGTAGTATTTTTTTTCTTCCCCAAGCGCATGATACCAATGTCCCTGAAATTCATAGTGGAAGCACTCGTTCAAGAAAAGAAACAAATAAATACAAAAGGGAAAATCCTCCCATGTGACCTTTTCCACTCGCGCATCCATCTTCCTGCGCTTCCCTAGGGGATGCTGTAGACGGCTTTGCGGGCGGTTTCCTCTTAGGAAGGGTCGTTCTCCGAGCAGTGCGGCGGGGGAAGAGGGGGTGTCCTTCGCATCCCCCGGGCATTCCCTTCTGTTGATTTCCAGGAGGGGATCGGCGCAGGGCGGGCCCGGCCGCCCCTCCTGCCCGCGCAGCCTCCGCCCCGCCCGGCGCCGCGGGTACGGGCCGAGCTCGAGCCGAGCCGAGCGGTGCCTGAGCCGAAAGCCGAGCCGAAGCTCCAGCCGGCCCTATCATGGCGCCGCTGGTGCTGGTAACCACTGGATGGACGCAAGTCCTTCTCGCTCGCAAGAAGGTGATGGGGGCGGCGGGGGCGCGGGGCGGCGGCCTGCGGGCCCCCGATCGCCCCCCCGCCGCGCCGGGAGCCCCCCGCCCGCCCGCGGGGGAAGTCCGGGTAGGGGGGATGAGGGAGGGAGCGCCCGTGGCCTGCGGCCGTAGGCGAGCCGGGTTCGGCCGTGCGGGGGCTGCTGGCCCCGGGGTGAGCCGTGGTGCCCTTGCAGGTGCGGCTGGCAATAGCCGAGAAGGCGCTGAAGTGCGAGGAGCACGATGTAAACCTGCCGCTGAGCGAGCACAACGAGCCGTGGTTCATGCGCTTGAGTTCCTCCGGAGAAGTACCTGTCCTGATCCACGGGGAAAACATCATTTGTGAGGCAACGCAGATTATTGATTACCTGGAAGCGACGTTTGTAGATGGTAATCCCGCAGGCATTTCGGTGTGAGATCCTTCCCCTCGCCCCGTAGCGTGCCAGCAAATGCTGGGGGCAGCTCTGTATCGCTGCGGGGAGGTTCACTCAGGACAGAAATGCTTAGAGTCTCACAAATAAATGGGCTCTCCTAATAGTTGGCAGTGGGGGCTGAAAACACGTTCCTTTAAAATGAACTGAAGGCCTTCCAGCAGTTTCTCAACCCTTTCAAGTAAAACCTACCACTGTCATCCTTAACCTTTCAGGAAGGATGGAAAGGCAGGAATGGCAGCAGCACTGTGCTGTGCTAACCCTGAGATGACACTGCCATGAAAAATAAAGTGTTGAACAAGGCTACATGACTATGGTTGTCAGGCAGGTCCAGATTCTCTGTAAAATAAGAAGAAACATGCTTAATTCCAGAATAATCTTGGGTGGAAAAGTGAAAGTAAAATAAGCAAATTATTTTTGGAGCCAAAATGGAGTGAAAAGGTAAAAGAGTAGGAAGAGAAACCTCAGAAGTGATCACATGCAGGTTTTTGAATTTCTTTTTGTCTGTATTGCCAAAAAAACACAAACTACTTCAATTTTGGAAGCTGTATTTTTTATAGGTGTGAAGATGGCAGCATTTTGTATTTCAGGGATTTAGTGCTGCGATTTCTAAGGCCTGAAGAAAACTTGATTGTTGAGAGAACATAATTTGTATTTAATGCTGGCTTTAATCAAAAAAGGAGGTAGATCGAGGGCAGGGTAAAACTCAGTGGTGTGCGGAATATTTCTAACCATGCTTTGAGTAGGATTCCTATACTGTAATTTTTGCAAGCATTACAACAATAGTAATGTTTCAACCTTAACAATTTCCTGGAACCTCAGCTGTGCCCTGCTGTTAGAGCACTATAGGGTTGTGTGTCATGGTTGCCCATTCCTAGAAGAACATAACAGATGTGAATCCGGTTTTCTGATTTGAACACCTCTTAAATATGTGTTTATGTGGGTTACTGCATAGGAATTAGAATTATTAAAACATTTGAGAATGAAGTATGTGTATATACATTTCTCTGAGCTGCAATAACACTATTGAGTTACGGTGGGGAGCAAGTGAAGCTTTCTTAACTATGGCTGTGTCATCTGTGCCAGTTGAACATCACTGAAGGAACTTTGGTCAATTACATGGTTCTTCTTCTCTTAACTTTATTTTTAACTTTATATTGCAGAGGAAGTACCAAGATTAATGCCAGAAGAGGGGAGCATGTATTATCCAAGGGTGCAACACTATAGAGAGCTTTTAGACTCCTTGCCTATGGATGCCTACACACATGGCTGCATCCTGCACCCGGAGTTAACAGTGGACTCCATGATTCCAGCCTATGCTACCAGCAGAATTCGTAGTATGTACTGGTATAGCTCTGACTGTCTATCAGTAGACTTTTGCATTACATTTGTCTTCTTAAATGCACCTTAAGCAGAAGATATTGAGCACAGCTTATGAATTTTGGTTGCAGTCATTGATGATTTGTCCATATACTTTTTATTGATTGTGTAGTCTCTTATAATTTGAAAGTGGGAAAGAGGAAGTGTCGTTTTTGAGGTGTCTGTGGAGTTAATTTTTGTGCTATGGTAAACTTCTAAATATTGTTTTTATGTTTCCTTCTAAGTATTACAAACGAACTAAGTAGTTCTAGTACAAGGATCAAATCCTGACAACATGGCTGGGTGATGATTCCCTGTTTACGTTATATCCTGAGATCTTTGATTTTTTTGTGAGTGTCAGTGGTTTATATTGTGTTGATTTTTTGTATGATATTTTAGAATCATCCGTAGAACACAGTCAAATACTGCATAGACTTTGAAATGCAATACTACTATACTGTTACTAAATTCATGATATCATAAAAGGTGATACTGTGTTAGTTTGAGAAATTCTATTTCCAACAAATTGTGTTATCCTCCCCATTAAAATTTTTGGCAAGTCAGTTCTCTTATTAGAACTTAGCCACACTTTTGTGTTGTCAGAAGTAAAGGCAGGCAGTTAATTTCCATATAGTTGCATGAATTACTTAGCTGAAGTAACACAGAATCATAGAATGGCCTGGGTTGGAAGGGAGACCTTAAAGATCATCTAGTTACAACTCCGCTGCCATGGGCAGGGACACTGTCCACTAGAGCAGGCTGCTCCAAGGCCTATCCAGCCTGGCCTTGGAGACTTCCAGGGATGGAACATGCAAAGTTCTCTGGGCAACATGTTCCAGTGCTTCACCCCCTTCACAGTAAAGAATTTTTTCTTAATATCTAATCTAAATTTGCCCTCCTTCAGCTTAAATCCATTCCCATTTGTCCAAGAAATTTATTATTCTCCTACATCAGTGTACTGTCTGGTTTAGTGTTTTTTTTTCCCCCAAATGTGAATGCTAACTGTTTATTGAGCAATTGTGCTTTACTCATAGACATTGTTGATATTTTTTTTAGTTTTACATGTTAATAGTCAGTGCTTTTATTGTAGTTCACTTTATGACATTGTCTTCTGCATTTCTCACTGTATATATTCTTACCCTCTAGCTTCTAGCTGGTGTAAATTGTTGTCAGTTTGCACACGTTCATAGTGGTAGAGCTAAAATTATCACTCATCTAAATTGGGATGTTTTCTTACCTTTTTGTACTTAAAGCATAGCCTACTTTTTTGATTTGAAGCATTTTTTTATAGCTTGTGAATGTTCCCGAACAATTCCTTTGCACGTTCAAACTTTTCCTTGATGGTTTAGTTTTCAGTTTTGGAAAGCTAATCTTTTTCAGACTGCTAGATGTAATAAGCCATGAGCCAGTTCTGTATTATGTTTATGCGTACCAAATCCAAGCAAATAATTAATTGCATATGTAAGATCTTAGTTGTGTGATTACATCCTTCAATTTCTTCATATACTATACTGAAAGATGGCTCTCACAGCCATATCAGGTTGAAGTGAATATATAAAACAGTGAGTTCATTATTCTCTAGAAAGAATTTTTATCAGTTTGATTTATAAGACTTAATTGGAACTAAACTTAATTATCAAGTACCGGTGAGAGGTGATTCATGCTCTATAATTATTCTTTTGTTCTCAGTTTATTACTAGAAAAACTTATTTTTAGAAGAAGACTTATTATTCACTATCTTTTGGTAATCTAGGTCTGTAAGTATGGCATTTTCCAACAAAGTCCCATTTTAAGGAGAGAAAAGGCTATACACATGTAGCAGAAACCAGTAAAATTATCTTAAACTTTTCACATCATTCCTTCTTTAAGTCATGTAATGAATGTTTTTCTAGAACATTCACATAGTCCTTAATGAACATTTCCAAAAGGGATCACATACTTTGGTATAATATTTTAGCTAACTGAAAACACCATATTCAGTGGTATTTAGGCTTTTTCTTTGAAATTATGCATGCAACCTGGAGTGACCTTCAATAAATCTCAGTGCGGGCCTGGCTGCACTTTCACAGCATGACAGGTGTGTTAGGAACTGAGGTACAAAAGCATCAGAGACCTAATGTATTTGTAGTAGAATTTTATGGATTTAGCACATATTTTGGCGGCAAAATGCTTTTTTCTGAATAAGAGAAAAGTATTAACGAGATTTCCTCATTTTTGCACCTATAGAGGACATTGCAAATTCATGAGCTAAAGGTGTGGTGGGATCAATTTAAGCAGCAGTTAAGTTTTCCAAAATATGATGTTTTTAAGTCCTGACTTGGAGCTGATGCTGTATTGAAGTACCACTTCCCATTTAGTATGATATTTGTACACAGGCTATTGATCAGTCCCTGTGGATTGCATTGTGAGTATGTTTGGATATCTAATATTTGTCATTCCTTTTTTCTGTTTGGTTTGGGTTTTTTGTGGTATTTTTTGTGTTTGTTTTTTTTTGTTTCTTTGTTTTTGTTTTGTTTTGTTTTGTTTTCCAATCAGGCCAAATAAGTAACACAGAATCAGAATTGAGGAAACTTGCAGAAGAAAATCCAGACCTTCAAGATGCCTATATTGCGAAACAGAAGCGCCTTAAAGTAAGGAAGCTCTTTGTATTCCCACACTTTATTATGAGCTTGTTAGTGTTAGATTTTTTTGTCACAATGTAAACATTTGTTTCACCTGTCATTACCAGTAGTGTCATGCAGTGGTTTAGCCCTTCAAGGCATGAAGCAGTCTGCCCCCCAGATCAGCTACACACTTCAAGTGTGTGCTGAAGTACTGGACTGGTCCTACTGACTTCAAAGGTAAGTACACATCAGTGCTGATGTTGGGTTGTTGAGCACCCTGCAGGGTGAGGCAAACCTTGATATGTAGCATTTCTAATGTTTTTCTTCTGTTATCTGAATTGTCACCAGTATCCAAATGGTATCCAGCTGACTGTGTGGAGAAAATAATCGCATTTTATGAATAAACGCTGTAGTATCTTAAGTAAAAGATTCTCTGATAAAAATACAAACTCTGTATGATGATTAAAACACTAACTTGTGTATATATTTAGTCTAAGCTGCTGGATCATGATAATATAAAATATCTAAAGAAAATTCTGGATGAACTGGAAAAAGTTTTGGATCAGGTCGAGACTGAATTGCAGCGTCGAAATGAGGAAACACCAGGTAAACTATTATTGTTGCTAAATCCTGTTGATGCTTGTGTTTCAGGAGACTGAGTGAACCTGTCAGCACCATTATAGAACTGCTTTTAATGTGTCTGATTTGTTACTTTTAGTATATACTGATCTAACATCACAAAAGGGATCAATACTGTTTTAAATACTAGCTTACTTTACTGTTGCTGTCAGTGAGTTCTCACTGTCTCGTGAGAGTGCTTGATCACATTCTTAGCAGAGTATAATTAGCTGCACAATTTTTCAATATTCTATCAAAAAAATCAGAAAAACTTAACTAGAGAATGTTGATGTTGTAATTGTAGGCCTCAGTATCACTATAATGATCCACAACCTTAATGTTTAATGTAGATTTATTACAATCTTGAGTAAATACTCTGCTGATATTTGTGGTACATCCAGAATGAGCAATCTGGATAATTGCTTTAATTGTTAGGCAAGCCCCTTCCCTTACCCTCTTGGAAAGCAGTCCTGTTTACCTGCCATCCACCCAAATGAAAGTCAAGTTTTCACAGAATCACAGAATCATCAAGGTTGAGAGAGACCTTCAAGATCGTCTAGTCCAACTGTGAATGTAGCACTGCCATAATCACTCCTAAACCATATCCTCAAGTGCCACATCCTGACGCCACGTGAACACTTCCACAGACAATAACTCCACCACTGTCCTGGGCAACTTATTCCAATGCCTGACCACTCCCTCAGTGAAAAAATGTTTCTAATATCTAATCTGAACCTCCTGTGGTGCAACTTAAGACCATTTCCTCTCCTCCTTTTACTTGAGACGTGGCAGAAGAGACCGACCTCCAACTCACTCCTTTCAGTCTCCTCCAGACTAAACAACCACAGCTCCCTCAGTTGCTCCTCATAAGAATTGTGCTCCGGAGCCTTCACCAGCTTCATTGCCCTTCTCTGGACTTGCTCTAGCACCTCAATGTCGTTCTTGTAGTGAGAGGCCCAGAACTGAACACAGTACTCAAGATGCAGCCTCACAAGTGCCAAGTGCAACAGGACAATGGCTTCACTAGTCCTGTTCTGGATACAGGCCAAGATACAGGTGGCCTTCTTGGCCACCTAGGCACGCTGCTGGCTCATGATCAGCCAGGAACCCCAAGGCCATTTCTGCTGAGCAGCTCTCATGCCACTCTGCCCCAAGCCTGAAGCATTGCATGAGGTTGTTGTGACCCAAGTGGGCTTGTTGAATATCATGCAGTTGTCCTCAGCCCATCAATTCAGCTTGTCCTGATCCCTCTGTAGAGCCTTCCTACCCTCCAGCAGACGAACACTGCTGCCTAACTTGGTGTCTGCAAACTGACTCAAGGTGCACTGGATCCCCTCATCCAGGTCATTGATGAAGATGTTAAACAGGACCAGCCCCAATATTGAGCCCTGGAGAACACCACTTGTGAGCAGATGCTATCTGGATATAATTCCATTCACCTCCGTTCTCTGAGCCTGGACATCCAACCAGTTTTCACTCAATGAAGAGTGCACCCATCCAAGCCATGAGCAGACAGTTTCTCCAGGAGAATACTGTGGGAGTGTCAAAGGCTTTATTGACTTCTAGGTAGACTACAACCACAGCCTTTTCCTCATCCACTGTGTGGGTCACACTGTCATAGAAGGAGATCAGGTTAGTCAAACCTTACAAAAGGACCTGCCTTTTGTAAACCCATGCTGGCTGGGCCTGTTCCCTTGGTTGTCCTGCAAATGCCATGTAATGGAACTCAGGATGATCTGCTCCATGACCTTCCCTAGTACCAAGGACAGGATGATAGGTCTGTAGTTTCCTGGATCCTCCTTCTGACCCTTGTAGATGAAGGGTCACTAATTTCCAGTCAACTGGGACTTCTCTGGTTAACCAGAACTGCTGGTAAAAGGTTGAAAGTGGTTTGACAAGCTTTTGCCAGCTCCCTTCTTACTCTTGGGCACATCCCATCTGGGCCTATAGACTCATGGGTGTCTAACTGGCATAACAGGTCACTAACCATTTGCTCCTGGATTTAGGGGCTTCACTTAGCTCCCCATCACTAACTTCCAGTTCTGGGAACAACTTGTTTTGTATTAAAGGCTGAGGCAAAGAAGGCATTAAGTACCTCAGCCTTTTCCTCATCCCCTGACACTGTTTTCCCCTGCATTGAGCAAAGGATGGAGACTCTCCTTAGCCCTCCTTTTGCTGCCGATGTATTTACAGAAACTGCTTTTGTTGTCTTTAACTGCAGCATCCAAATAAAGTTCTAGTTTGGCTTTCCTTATAATTTTCTTGTGCATAACCTCACAACATCCTTGTAGTTTCCTCCCTCCTTGCAGAGGTGATACATGATCTTTGTTACCCTGAGTTCCAGCCCAAGTTCCTTGTTTAACTAAGCCAGTCTTTTTCCCTGCCAGCATAGGGGGACAGCCTGTTCCTGTACCCTTAAGATTTCCTCCTTAAAGCATGTCCATCCTTCCTGGGCTGCTTTGCCCTTCAGGACTGACTTGCAAAGGACTCTGTCAGTTAATCTCCTAAATAGGCCAAAGTCTGCCCGCCAGAAGTCCAAGATGGCAGTTCTGCTGGCACCTCTCCTTACTTCACTCAAGACTGAAAACTCTTGTCATTTTGTGGTCGCCGTGCCCAAGACAGCCACTGACCACATCACCCATGAGTCCTTCTCTGTTCACAAACAACAGGTCTAGCAGGGCACCACCCCTGGAAGGCTCACCTACCAGTTGAGAGCAAGTTCTCTTCCACACACCCCGAGCACCTCCTGGACTGCCTTCTCTCTGCTGTATTTCCAGCAGACATCTGGCAAGCTGAAGTCCCCTATGTGTACAGGGGTTGGAAATTGAGAGACTTCTGCCAGCCTCCTGCAGAATGCCTCTTCTACCATTTCATCATGGCTAGCAGGTCTGTAACATTCCTACCAGGACTTCTACCCTGATGACCTTCTTTGCCCACAGGCATCATCCTTGTCATCATCCTAAATTCTGTTTGAATGGGATTAGTCTTCTGCTTATTCAGAGCCTGGTTCAACTCCCAGTGGTACTAATAGGAGTCCTTCCTCTGACTTCACTGGGAACTGCATGAAGCATCAGTCAATATCAACTACATCTGCTCAAATCAATAACTTTTTGCATTTAGTCCTGTAAAGAGCTGTTGTAATAATTACCGGTTACTATCACAACCATAAGTTTGAACCAGTGATTGAAAATCTAGGTTAAATTTTCTACTGACTCAACAGTGGAAGAGTCACAGAAAATATTTTTACTCATAAAGGATTTTGTTCAGCAAACTACATCTGTCACCATTGCCAACAGCCCCTTACTTTCTCTGCTAAGTAGCCTTTCCAAGGACTCAACTGCTACAATTTTGATGACCTTATGAAAACTGCCAGGATCACAGAATTTTGTAAAACATGGGCCTGTTGCCTGCCTCTTGGAATTTTGTCTGAGGTATTCCCACTTTTGAGCTTTGTGATCAGTGCTTCTCCAGGTCCTGGTCAAACTTGTAGCTTCTGCTTCTCTTGCTACTACTCAAATCTCTCATTGAATTACTGCTGCTGCCACTGCAGGTATCTTTCATGAAGGATAGCTTCTTTGGTCTTCCTTTCCATCTTCTTACTTACTTAATGCACTAGATGAATCCCCAGGTATGCTTTCATCAACCTAGGATACCCTTGTTCTCTAGAGAGGCCTTTCTTCCAGACCTGTTTGACTGGTCAAAATGGACTGGTACCAGCCATGTGCCAAACTGTTGCTTTCCTCTAGTGGCAAATGTGTTGGAAAGGAGATGGCTAAATTTTTCTGTTTCCAGAGAGGTGCTGCTGAATGTTTGTGCCAGCATTTTTGCATGCCTGTTGTGTGGGAAGAACTGCGAAAGGATACAAATGAGAAGGGAACAGCATAGTCCTATTTGAGAACTAGGCTAGAGCAGAATACTCATGCTGACAGCTATGGTAACTATTAGTTTTCATATCCTGGGTTTCAAAAGCTCTCAGTGTAGTCAATACAGGTCAGCCCTTTCACGTGGTGGTGGTGGTGGTTCAGATCACTGACACTGCTCTGAGCCATCCCAGGAAGATTCATCTCTTTCCTTCAACTGTAGAGGGAAGCTGGGGTCTCTATCTGTGCTCATGACTAGTGGTGGGCAGTGTGAATATCTGTCACTTCTTAAACATCTCATCGTAAAAACCCCATGGTCACAAAAGAAGGAGAGGTAGACAAGCTCTGTCTTCTCACTGAACTGGTGTGTTTGGTGCAGATCAGTCGTCTGATCTGTTTGGTTTTGACTTGAAAGCCTACAGCAATTTAGCTGGACTTAGTTCTTGAGTGAATGCCATAGAGCTGAGTGACATAGGCAAGATGATAAATTCTTCAGACAAGTGGTAGCTTTTCACTAAAATTTAAACTGCCTTCCTCCTTTCCAGTCCTGTTTAATTTAATCCAGATTTGAGAAATGTAGTTGAGGAAAATAACTGTTTACTGTGAGCTTTAATTTATGAACCTGGAATGTCACTCTTTTTTTCCTTAACAAATGTAGTCCCGGCTGCTGAGCCTAAGACTACAATATTGTGCAAACAATGGACAGGGATTACTAAAATGTTCATCAATTAAAGTCATATCTTAGCTGAAGTGTTGGTGGTGTTTATTAGACGGAATTTGAAATAACACTAAACTAAATATTAGTGCATGGAAGCTTCCATGTGTGCTTGTATTCCATTAGCTCCTAATTCTTTATGTTTCATCTCTGCTTAGAAGATGGAAATCAGCCTTGGCTCTGTGGTGATTTCTTCAGTCTGGCAGACGTATCACTTGCCGTCACATTACATCGCCTGAAGTTTCTGGGATTAGCAAGGAGAAACTGGGGAAATGGAAAGCGGCCCAACTTGGAAGCCTATTATGAGCGTGTTGTGAAGAGAAAAGCATTTTACAAAGTTTTGGGACACGTCAACAATATATTAATCTCAGCTGTTCTGCCAACGGCGTTCCGTGTGGCCAAGAAAAGGGCTCCGAGGGTTCTTGGCACCACCCTGCTGGTCAGCCTCCTGGCGGGAATGGGTTATCTTGCTTTCCTGTGTCTTCGGAAGAGGTTTGCCAACATGATGTTACCGATTAGAACCAGGCAAAATTATTTTTAGACCTGTCTGGCCCTGGTGGTGAGTGGAAGGCATCTCTCCACCCCAGGAAAATACCCCCGATAAAATATAAATATAGATGAAAGATTATGCCTGTGAATTAGAACATTTTCACACACTAATCATCTCCTGCAGTTGTATAATTGGGTTGGTAATGCTGAGATATTTTTCAAAAATGTATGTTGAGGGGGCAACAAAGGAAAGAAGAGGCTTTCTTTTCAGCCAAGGACCTATAACTGTGACAGTGCTTTGTTGAAGTGGTTATCGTCTCCTTTACCCAGTAGCTGACCTAATTATAATGCTTTAATTTAATAGATATGCAGCAATGTGATAGCTTTTCACTGTAGGTGAAATGCGTTATTGTGCAGAAACCAGCATTGTTAAAATAGATCTTTAAATGCTCAGAGTAGAATTTAAGTGGACTATTGGCTCTGTACCTGTTGTGTACAGGGGCTAGTTTCTCTGTACTGATTAATGTCTGTTGATTTGCCATTGGACCTTTATGATGTGTTCAAAAGTGAAGCCACTTTTGTCACTGTATGTTCATGCAGCAGTACAAGAAAAGACTTAAGACAGGTAAGAACATCAGTGAGTTGTGGGCCACATGAGTGAAATTCTCCAAAGGCATCACTGGGCAACAGGTACTGGACTTTTGCTGAAATACAAGTGAGAGTGATAAACCTGACACTTGTCTTTCAAAAGCCTTTTGGGCTTAGCTGCAAACTGGCAGAATCAAATCAAACTATCTTGGTGCACGCTTGCTGCTTTCATTGGGGCGCATTGATATAATTGCCTCCGTATGAGTGTTCCTTTTTCACTCTGAGCACTGGGTATTTTTTGCACACTTCTTGTCTACATTAGCATTTGCATGTGCCTCTATGAAATGTTTACCCCCAGTGTGCCACAGCCGGCTGGAAAATGTATGCACAACAATGCATTTTGTAAAAGTAATTTGAAATAGTTCACTATCAGTCTGGTAGGTAGCCTAGATTGAAGGTGAAGCTGTAATTTAGCAATCTCTTTACTTATGGAGAGGTGTCATGTTGGTGGTAAATGAAAAATATAGGTCAGATTGAAAACAGATGATTTTTACTGCGGATTTTTTTGTAAAACTGCACTCTTGTAGCATGTAGGAAAGGTGTAGAAAAACATTTTGATTACTTCCCACTGCTCAGCAGATGCTGTGAATTTTATTAGTTTTGAACTGAGCTCCTGTTTCAATGAGAAATTTACATTTACCTGAAAATAGACTTTGAACCATGACAAAAAAAGCAGTTGGGAAGGGCTGAAAATTTTCATGACAATTTAGTAAGATTTTTGTGTTCTGGATGAATGTCTGAAAGCTTTAGAATTTTGTTTACAAGTTGTATATAGCTGCAACAAACAAAGCATAGCTTTTGGTGTTTACCTATCATCAACCAGTGCTAACAGGCCTAAGTACATTTTAGATCCAGTGCTGGTGGCTCTTGTCTCTCTGCACAATTACTTTTAATTGTCAGGAAGATCCTCTGAAGTTTGCTGGAGAGAACTGAGGCAATTTCTGTCTGGACAGTCTCACCATTAAACACGTATCAATATGGATAAAATTGTTGAATACTTCTGCTTATTATTTAATATTGTACTAGTTTGTCTAGAAAAAGTAGAACTGAATCTCATTACTCCCTTTGAGTAAGAAGTAACATCTTACCTAGGAAAAAATGTGCATTTTTATTTGTCAAAAAGGTGGTTTTATATAATTTTATTTCACAACCCAATTGTTCTCAAGAACTTGTTGAATTAAATGTGGTCTATTTAGAAAAGCTTTATTATCTCTAGAGAGAGTTTAATCCAACAATACTATTAATTTGCTGGCACTTTTAACTGAGTTTGTTGTTTGCATATTGCAGTTCATCTGCTTTACTTGTAACCATCAAATTCCACTAAATTAATAAACACAGCATAAGACCTGTAACTTAATGCTTCCCTGACATGTATTTGTGTCAGGCCGCCTAGAAAATGTAATTTGATCAAGTCACAGTAAAATTAAGTATGTATGACTTAGCTTTCTTTAGAATTAATTTATATTTTATTTTTTCCTTTTCCTCTTTTTATTTTTATAATGTGTTAATTGCAGATAAGAACACTTATGTTGCTGGCTTAGTTCACACTAGCAGACCTGTGTGCTGTGATACAGGCTAATTACTGAGGAAGCCGTTTTACTTCTCCCCAAACCTGAGTGATTTCTGCACTTCAGCTCGTGCTTGTTTCCTGCCGGGAGGTGCAGGTGCTGTTGGAAGGAGTGAAGTGACCACCAGATGTCAGTGGTCCTCCAGGGCTCTGCTCCGCCGCCTCTGAGGCAGGAAAGCACTAGTTTTTACAAACAAAAAGTTTGTGATCTCAGCATAAGAGGGATGTGAGCACCCCCATCAGACTAGCAGTCTCTCAAGAGCTCTTGAAAGAACTGCTCTGGTCTACCACAGGTTGGTTCTCTGATACCTGTCACTTACGCTTGTGTAGCTTCTACTCTGGGGGTAAATAAGAGGCTAAAGTTGAAATAATATTTCACCTGAAAATGAATGTTACCGAACAGCAATTAAAGGTGTCATCTGCAGGAATGAACGAGTAAAACTTTCACAGCAGAAAAGTTGGGATTCCTGGTTTGATTCATGTCTGTTAGTTCAAATGTTTCATATGCCACTTATTTTCACTGCCCTGAAGTACTCCATACAACACTGGTTTCTGTACAGGTGGCAGCAAAAGGCTTATCCATGATTAAATTCCTCAAAATAGGATGAGATTTAGAAGCACATATGCTGTATTTGGCTCTTTGTGCAGGATAGCTTTTGTGCTTGTAAAGTTTCTTTTCAGGCTGGCTTATTTTGTTTGCTCTGGTAGCTCTGTATACTCTTTCAGTTGGATACACAAGCAGTCTTCTGGTTTTCATTTCCTATTTGCTCTCATATCATGCATCAGGTATATTTCATATCTTTATGTGGGACCTGCACAATAAACATAGATTCTAAGACCACTTTCTAGACTGGCTTATGTCTTCTGTGTCAGTAAAACAAAGCACATTCAAGGATCACACAGTACTGCTGTGAGGAGTCTGATGCTATTCAAGGAGAGAAGCCTCCAAACACCTTTTAAACCAGCTTAATGGTTTACATGCAGCTTGCCTTGCATGTATATGGAAACAGCAGTTGAAATGATGTTTTATCTTTGTTTATCTGAGCTGTATATGCATGAGGTTCAACGGAAGCCATTAATAAAGTAAAAAAATAAAAATATAAAAGTAATTAAGGAGGGCAAGCAGTTTTGTGCTCTTAATTAATCCATAAAAAAAAAAATACAATGCCAGTTCCCTTCTGATTGTGTCCCTGACTCGTTGAGCTGCAGCAGCTGAAGGTCCTTTCTGTAAGGTGCATGAGAAGCACATAATCTGTGTTCACACTGACATTATCCGTGATGAGACCAGATGGTGTAACCCTACCAGTGTTTGTGTGGCCATAAACTAAAAAAAAAAAAGCTTTCTTTTTTTTTCCTTGCAATGTAGCAGTCTGCATTGGACTCACTTCTTGTTAAGCAGAGGAATAAACAACAGTACTTGAGGCTTGTATGCATTTCCTCTCAGTATTTTGAAAGTCTAGAAAGCTGCTAGAGTCAGGTAGACAGCTGATAGGGCTTGAGTTTGATGAGATTATGACACCTGGACCAATTTAGAAGTAGCCTTGATCAGAAATGTGCACAGAACTGTTACTGTGAAAAGCTTGTGTCTAAACACACAAGAAGAGCAAGAGTGAGTGGGAAGGTAAATACGGCAAGTATAAATTCCTTGTCTAGATTTGCAAAGCCATACATCCACTTTTACGTGTCATTTTTGAAGGCAATTTTTACTTAAGTCTTAATTTTATGGGAGCAAGGAGCTACTAAGGTTTAGAGACCAGATTGTCGTGCCCTAATTTGTGAGGAATAGAGATAGCAGTAGATGGAAAGTAGGTGAAAAGTTGTGGGTCTAGCTAGCTGGAGCACACTGTGCTCTGCAGTAATGTGTATGACACATTTGCTGAGGCCTGCTTATTAACTTTATCTCTCCCTTTAGCTGATGTTAGACAAAGAGGTGTAAGGTTGTGCTTAGGCAATTTATAAGATGTGCCGAGGAAGTCAAAAGCATGAAGAAAAATCCCAAACAAAATATATTGGGTTTTGTTCCCTCCTTTCTTTATAAAGAAATTTTTAGTTTTGGTGCAGTACCAAGTCATAAAGTCAGGCACTCAAAACTCAGGAAATTCCAGAAGCCAGAGTTCTTACAATACTGTTAACTCACTCTACTGCTAACTCACTCATGTGGCACTTCAATAGCCTTTTTATTTCTGTTTTTCTTTCTAAATTACAATCATGGTGCTTTGTTTAATGTGAAGTTAAAAATGTTGCACCATAAAATAGTTAAGCTGTAGAGGACGCCGCTGGTTGTTTCCCCTACTGGCTGAGGCATTGACCTTACAGAAATTGAAGTCCTTCTCCCCCACTTTGTATTGAAATAGGTAAAACTCAGAAGTGGAGACAAAAACTCCTCCCTTGTAAATATGTGCCCTATGCAGTAGGTTGCAGTCAGGTTTCCTTTTTCTCAGCACAAAACATTTCTGTCTTTGCAGAAATCAGGGGCCATTTTTTTGACAAAAAGTAGTGTGAACATGTGGAAGGCCGAGACTGCCAGTCATTCAGAAACTTGATGGAGACCAGGGCCTGCCACACAGTTTCCTCTACTAGCTATGTTTAAAGCCAGCAGTTAGTAAATGCTGAACTCTTGGTAAGAATGTCTTTGGGTACATAACACAGGTTTGGTGAAAGGGAAGGAATTCTGTATCAATAAATCAGAGAAGAAACTGTCCAGAGAAGCTTCATCACTATTTCTTCTGGTCTAGCTCTCTGTGGCTTTTCTGTGGATGGAGAGAGGCTTTTGGGTTGCTATTTCACAGGACATATTCGTTATATCTCACTTCAACTATTTAACTGAAATCAATGGAGGGAAGAATATCTGTCTTTGTTAAATACATGATGAAGCCAGCTTCCTCATACAGATATTTAAGTTGGACCACTGTTCAGAAAGGTATTGTAAAAGCATGTGTTTTGAACTGTGTAACTCTACTCAAACACCTTGTCACAAGCGTAGACACCAAACGAGAAAAATTCAAACTAGAGGTCTGGATTGCACCCCAGAGCCAGAGGCAGTAAAAATAGAAAGACCTATTGTTTGAATTTTTAGGTCTTTGAATAGAAAGAGTTCCAGAGACAAAGATCTCACAGGGAGTCTGTACCAGACGCTTTTTGTCCAAATCTTGCGCCTTAAGAATTCTGCACACTTCCATTGTGCTGAATTATCGACAGCTCTAAAACACAGAGGTAGAATCCAATAGAAGTTACGGAGGAAACAAAATTGGCCAATGTTGCAGTAATGGAGGTATCCAGATTTCAGTTTCTAATAGAGAGCCAGATTCAGATCTGATGTGAGTCATTGTTACAAAAAATGTAGTTGTGCATCTACTTATGTTGGATCTGAATTTGATTTTAAAGTCATTATGCCATGAATCACATTTTACGACTTTGCCTTGACAAGTTTTGTTTTGATCAACCTATTTGTTACAGAGACAATGAAAGCTGCACAATACCTTTCTGAAACAAAGGATATATGCAGAACTTGAACTTTTAAAAACTGTTTAAGCTTTTAATATGGGCAGCACATACTGAATCAAAAATTATGGAATATGGAGTTATTTTTGGAATAAAGAATTCTTTTAAAATAAGTCCAAGAATGTATGTTTAGGACTTATCCCAGAACAGCATCATAAATTTTTTATTTTTTGGATTTGAAAGAGAGCCAAAAAGCTATAGCTGACTTCATTTTTCTGTTGTTAACAGCAAACTGTAACTGCAATACAAGGAAGCTCCAGCAGATAAAAAGATAACAGGTTTCTCTTTTATGTATATATTTTATTAACAGAAAATAACTGTGCTTAGTTAATTTTCTTAGGTAAATCATACCAGATAAGAGTTCTGTCCCTTCTTGTGTGTTATAAGAATTATCAGGGTCTTTTTTCTGCAAAGGAAAAGATGAAAATATTTCCAAAGTGGCTGGCAGAACAGCAGCACTGGCAATATCAGCTGAGACTGCAGTTCCACATCCATAGCAACCCATGGAAGTGGAAGTCCAGCAGCAACTGAAAGTAGTTCATTGCAATCCAACAGCCTTCTGTGAGAAAGAAGGAGAAGGAAACCAAGTTTTGAACCCAGCACAAGTGGCTGTGCTTAAAGCCAGAAATCCCTCAAGCTGGTTGCACAGATGAATGCCTAACATGTCTCTAGCATCTCTATCTAATGAAGTGGAATGAGAGAATACCTTGGTGTTTACACAGGCTTCTGATACTAATCTGTATCAATTGGCAGTGCAGGGGTAACGTACTGGAGAAAGTTTACATATTGAATTCTGGAATCAGGAAAAGGTTTGTATCTTGTGCTTATATTTGTGTAGAAAATGGATTAAAAATATATTCATGAAGAAAAGCATGCTCATATCTTGGTCTCAGCAAGAATTAGTTCTGAAATGCAGTCTTTAGCCTCACGCATCACACTGTCACGCTTCAGCACCATTGTGTCATTGGAGAGAAAAGTGATAGGGTAGATAGTGGTGGAGACTCAGAAGGAGGACTTGAAATGGTAAGTTACATTTACAGGCTGATAACCCTAAGGTTTAGGCTTTGTTTGGTTTTGTTAGTTTGTTGGCTTTTTAATAATAAATAAATCTACACCTGATAGAGTGCTACACTGCAAGGTGTGCATTACTGTCATGAGGGAGATGCAATCACAAGATGTTGTCTGTTGATGAACGAGTAGAGAGTTTGCTTACTGTGAGTGAAGGTTTATCTGAACACCTCTGTTAGGGTTGCAGTATGCAAAGAAACAAGCTTTATTATTGCATGGTTCATTGAATCATTCAATAATGATTCTGTTTAATGTACTTCAATCACAACTTAAAATGCTAATTCAAGATAGCAGTGATTTCCCTGTTTACTTCTATTAATTTATTAGGTATTAACAAATTTTCTGCTTTTGCATGTATTATAATTAATCTCACTACACAACCTTGCCTCAAAAGTAGTTTTGTTCTGCCACACTGCAGTCCTTCATCTTGTGTTTGTTTGTACAGGACTGGTTCTAATCTGGGCTGTTTGCTGTATAACCTGCAGTTCCCCAGGCTCCTGCTGGCTGTGGGCGCTTTGTGTAGTGTTGCATCTTAGAATCATAGAATCATTTAGGTTGGAAAAAACCTTTAAGATCATTGAGTCCAACTGTTAACCCAGCACTGCCAATTCTGCCACTAAACCAGGTCCCTAAGTGTCACATCTACATGTCTTGTAAAAACCTAAAGGGATGGTGACTCAACCACTTCCCTAGGCAGCCTGTTCCAGTGTTCCAGTGCTTGACCACCCTTTCCATGAAGAAATTTTTCCTAATATCCAATTAAGCCTTCTCTGGTGGAACTTGAGGCCATTTCCTCTCATCCTATTGTTGTTACCTGGGAGAAGAGACCAACCCCCACCTTGCTTTGCTATGACCCCCTTTCAGGCAGTTGTAGAGAGCAATAAGGTCGCCCCTGAACCTCCAGGCTGAACAACCCCAGCTCCCTCAGCCGCTCCTCATAAGACTTTATTCCAGACCCTTCATCAGCTTCACTGTTCTTCTCTGGACATGCTCCAGCACCTCAGTGTCCTTCTTGTAGTGAGGGTCCCAGAACTTGACACAGGATTCAAGGTGCAGCCTCACCAGTGCTGAGTAAAGAGGGACAGTCACTTCCCTAGTCCTGCTGGCCACACGATTTCTGATACAAGCCAGGATGCCATTGGCATTCTTACCCACCTTGCTTGCTTGTTGAACTTAAAAAACAAGGAATTTATCAAGCTTTATATGCCCTAATCATGGGTGTTGGTATTAATAGCTTCTTGGTATTAGCTGTAATTGCTATGACATACTTTTGGTATTG